TCTTCAGCTTTCATGCATTTGATTTCTTTGATAGCTATAGACTACTGAGAGCTTTCTGATTGTCTTGTGGGCCAGCTCATACCCCAGCTGCTGGCCTGGCCACGATTTCAACATTGCCTGAGGTGTTCTTCTAGGGCTGCCAGCGACGTTGTGTCTTGTTGGGCTTGGAAGATTCCTGGGAGCTGCCAACCTTCCTCTTCAGGGCTCGCCATGGTCCCTGAGGTGAGCGGTTTCTGTCCCAGCTGGGAGTGGAGGTACCCGCCACAGCCTCCCCCAGATCCTCATGCAGCTCTTCCTGCTCCCCACTGCTGGTAATAGGGGCACTGGGGGTGCTGCTGGGACCCCCACAAAGAGCAGCAGTTGAGATGCTGGGGCATGGGTGCTCCTCTTCGTCAGCTCCAGCAGGGCTGCCGGAAGGGGCTGGGCCAGGTGTGGGAGACTGTCCTTGGGAGCTAGAGGGGCTGGGGGTAGCTCTTGGGCTGCCCTCCTGCTCCTCAGCAGTGTGGTCGTCCTCCAGGCCCAGCAGACGTTGGGCTTCCACACTGCACTGTTGCACGGCAACATCAATTAGCTGCTGCACAAATGTGGCTTCATGGGTTTGGAGGAAGGGCTCCAGCAGCTGGACCAGGAATTCTCCATTCAGCCCAAAGAGGCCCAGGATGGACATTACAATGTCCTCCAATATGGATGCCTGTGCATGCTGGTTCCCAAAGATCAACTGCAGCTCCTGACGCACCCAGGGCTGCAGGGACTGGAGGAGAGGTGGGTGGTCCCTGAAAACAACTGCCCAGGTGCGTGGTTCGAGGCCACCCGGAAGAGCCCTGGACAGCTCTACAGACCGTTGTGCTACTGCTGCAGGTCTCTGGGCAGCTGGATATCCAGAAGGACCTCCTTGCTGGTGGCCAACAACTGATGGCGCTGCAGGTGATGGGAGGACATGTTCTTCAAAGTCGTCATCTGCCCGCACCGAGTGTACAATGGAGAGGATCCTCCTCTTGCAGAGGGGGCACTCGGGCTTGCTCTCAGCCCACCGCTGAATGCAGGGGTAGCAGAACTGGTGGAGGCATGGCAGCACATAGCTTGGCTCCTCACAGCTGCCCAGGCAGATGGGGCAGCGGTTTTCCAGCTCCATGGCCATGCTCTCCACTCACTGCGCTGGGCTGGGTGAAGCTGGGGATGTCCAGCTCTCTCACTGCCACTGCCACAGCTGACCCAAGGAGTGGTGGAAAAAATACCCAGGTTCCTCAAGGAAGAAACCCTCCAAGGGCCCCAGGGTGAGCTGTACCCACCCAGCTCAGCTCTATGGCTGTGAGCCTGCCTCCTGGGTGCCCTGCCTGCCTGTGCAGAGCCAGGGAAAAATCTGTGTTGGGGCCAGTACTGAGAGCTTCAAGGAGCAATTCCCTGAGCACAGTGCCAGCACCAAAGGTGTTGCTCACCACTCCAGACCTCACAAACTTGCTCAGCTGGCATCCCAGCATGAGCTGGCTGGGAGAAGCTCGGTGCATGGTTATAAGCAGCAAGGGATGCCGGTTCACAATCCATTGCTTGGAAATGTCACAGCCATTGCTAGGTGATATCATAGTGGGCCGTCCTCACCCACTGTGCTCTCCCCAGCAGCTCTGTGGTCCCAGCACATGTCTGGGGTTACCACAGCACCACTGCCCCCTCCCCCATCTCTTCTCCTGTGTTTCATAAGAGTCACTGAGGCCTAGTCCATGTGTTGCCAGGGACACCTTTAGCTGGGGGAGATGTTTCCAGGCACATGTGGCAAGAGGGTTCATTGGATAACACCTCATGCCTCCCTGGCAGGCTGCAGCACAAAGTCCCCCAGGCTCTCCCTTTGCCCCAGCGCTGCTGGCCGGCCCTTTGGGCTCCCCTGATTCCTTGCACTGAGAGTCAATTGTTTTACTCTTTCTCCCCCAGACAGAAGGCTCAAGGGTGATGTCCTCTGCTCAGCATCCATCAGATCTCATCCAGGCACTGCATCCTCTTTGGGGTCCCAGAGACTGGTTGACAAACCGGAGGACCTCAGGAGAGGAAGACAGGGATTTGAGGGCTAGGGCTGGTTTAGTATGGAGCAGAGAAAATATCAGTGCACCTCAGAGCACACCCTGGTGCCTCTGGGGAAGGCATCAAGGGGATGGGGACAGGTGCTGCTTTGCACTTCCTGGTGGGAGGGTGAGACAGTGGCATCTCCTGGAACTAGAGAGCTTTAGGAATCAAAACCCCTGTGAGATCATGAAGCACTGGAGTGGGGTGCCCGGAGAGGTTGCGAGAACCCTCATCCTGGAGATCTTCAGGACCTGAGTGGCCACAGTCCAAAGCACAACTGCCACAGGGCCATGATGGGATGCTGGCTGAAGTCCTGGAAGAGAAAACATTGCCAGTGGGAAACATGGTAAAGATTTCCAGAGGTGCCACAGCTTCCAGAATGACATACACCTATGCTGACCGACATCAGTGATTAATGTGTGGAAGTGGGTATCTCAGCCTTGAGACTGCAGACCTGATAAGAAGGTACATCTTGGCCAGACCACATGGCTGGAATGCATTCAAGGAGAAGAAACTGTTTTTAGGAGCCTTGTGACCATAAAAGGATAATTTGAGGGATGGGGTGTTCCCCAAATGACCACCAGAGACTCTCAAGAGACCTCTACTCTACTGTAACTAAGTTCTGAGAAGTAATTTAAATATATAAAACAATTTGTGAGAATGCTCAGCATATACGCATGAGTTTCAGGAAATACAGTGAATATGTATTAGTGACATAGATATAAACTAGTTTTTTAGATGCCTGGGTGTGCACGTGTTAGGAGGAGTGATCCCCCACACCCAATGCCAAAATAAAGTAACGCCTGCTTTCTAATTACAATTAGAATTACAATCTAATTACAATGTGAGAGAGTTTTATTTTCCTGAAGTTTTCAGTGATGGAGGAGTGAGCAGAAATGCTGCCTGGGACTGCCGTGCCTGTGCAGCCCAGCCAAGTGCCCCATGCCTCCCGCCACTCAGGAGCCAGAGCTCTCTGCTGAAGGTGGCCTGAGTGTGGACAGAAATGCAGCAAAACGAAACCCCTTTGTTTTCCCACAAGTTGTCATTCCTTGTTAAAAAGTGCCACACAGCTCTGGTAGGAGAAAGAGCCCACAGCACAGTGGGTGCCATCCCCTGCCTAGCCAGGGCTCTCTGGCACAGCAGCAGCAGTGCCAGCCCCTTTCAGCCCACTCTTTCTTGGCTTCACCTGAGAAGCCACGAGCCTCTATACGCCAGCACAGCCAGTCACATTCCCAGGCTGGATCAGCTCCTGCTGGCAGGCAAAGCCTGGCAGTTTGACTGCTTCCAAAAAGTAGTAAATGCAGAGGTACAGATATACATACAGAGGAGCCCTGGGACTACCCAATAAATGAGCAAATATATGGGGGATGTTTTTTGAAATTATTACAGGTCTCATGCCAGTAGTGCCTTCTCTGCTAGTTCTGTGCAATTCATTGGGCCATTTGCTGACCTCCAGCAGTCACCCCCAGCTGCATTCCCTGGTTGCTGTTCGTTCCATCTCAAAGCACTGTTGCGTGGACTCCTGAGTTCCAGCTTTCAGGCTGGAGCACAAAGCCATGTTGTTCATCCCAAATGGATGTTCTGTCTCTGTTTCACTGTGCCTTGGAGCAACCACATATGCTAAGAAATACAACCTAGAAAGCAGAGAATAGAATGGGTTGGAAACTGCTGTGTGTGAGCAGGTTGCTAGAGTTTTCTGTTCTTTTAGTTTGAAGAAACAGTGTATTTTCTGAACGGAGGATGATATGTGATTAGCAGGGCTTTGGGAGTGTTTTTTCTAAGGCATGTGTCTTTGCAACCATTTCCTGATCCCCAATCTAGAAGAAAATTCAGCCTCCCACTGAAATTTTAAAGCTCAAGGTTATGATATTAGTAAGTGGGAAAAGTGGTGGCTGTAGATCCGAAGAAGTTGCACGTCGCATGCATCTAATCAAGCATTTTTTGAGGATTGTCCCAACTTTCAGCCTGACATACACAGAGCATTTGCATTAGGACAATACCCAGCCTCCCAGAAGTCGCAGTCTGAGTTTGACCAGCTGCTCTCTCCACTGCACTTTGTGGGCTCATGCACTGACCAGTGGCTGGAAAACCCCCAAAGCTTGGAAAGAACTTGTGTAGAACTGTTAAAAAATGCTAACATGGCTTCAAAACTAGGTTCACGGCAAAAGCCCAGATCTCTCTCTATTCTTTTTATTTTTATTTGAGAAAAGAAATCACAGGTGATTTTTCCAGCCACCTGCTGTTAATCTCAGGAGGGAGAAGAAAACTGGTTTCAAAACAAGAGGAGGGGGAAGGATGCTACCAAACTTTGGAATGGTTGTGGCTTTGCTGTTTGCCTGAGGCGTGTCCATCACCTGATCTCTTTGGCCTCTGCCTCGTAGCTCCCACTTTTGATGGGACTTATCCATTTTGGCCCACTGGTTTCCTCCTCCCACCACCTTCCAAGTTTTCCCACATTCTGTTTTAAATTTCTTGTTTCCTTTCCTTCTGACCATTCTAGCTCCATCCCTGCGGCTCACAGATGAGCCCAGGAAAGCTCCCAGAGGTGACTCACAGGCCCCAGATGCTACTTTGAGATGCCATAGCAAGTCAGCAACAGGCTGATATGTGTGCAGCAGGTTGGTTACTGGAACAAGCATTCTCCTTTCTAGTCTGAAGCATAAGTAGTCAAAGGTCATGTTTCCTTTGGTTTGGTCACATCCTGGTTCCTTCTCAGTGTTCAGTTTGGGGTACAGGGTACAAGAGCTTGGTGCATTGTTTGAGTTACTCTTGGAACCTTTGAGCAGCAGGTTTTGAAATACAAGAGGATTTTGTGCTGCTTTGTGACAGAACTATCCTGGCTCTTTTTGTGTTTGCTATTGTCCTGTTGCTCTGCATAAATTCACAAAGCGACATAGAGAGGCTGCTATTGTGATGTCAAGGGATTGTTGCCATGTCTTCGTGGTGTCAATGGTGCCTTGTGGACAGAAGGCGTCAGTGATCAGACCAAATCTTTGCTTGCACGTTGCAGAAGTATCCTCCTGCTCAAGGTGTTCACAGTAAACAGAGGTGTCATTTATTCTCTTCTTGGAGCACAGCACTTGCACAGCACTGCTAAAATGGCTGAGCCAATCGCTGCTGCAGTTTGCACTGTCTATTCTATGGGTTATTCCGGCTATTATTTGACCCATCTAGCACGTAAGTAGAGGTTTTTCCTGGGTGTAGCATAATCTGGCTTTTGTATTGCTGTGTTCTTTATGCTCTTTCTTAAGTGACTGAATTGATTGTAAAACAAAAACACCACTGAGATGCCACTAGTTTAGTAAAGTTCCTGTCAACAGCTTCAGCTAAAGAGAGTATCTCTAGACAGCAGGGTGCGGATGGCATCTGAAATGTAACCTGCAGGGTTTCTGTTCCCTCCACGGGATAGTGTGTGGCAGTGGAGTCTATCATTTCCTCAGCTTGCTGGTTTGATAACACCTTCCAAAATGCAGACTGGCCCAGCTTCCCAAAGTCTTTCTAAAAACTGTGCTGTTCTCTCCAGAATTGTGGGAAAGCTTGTTTTTTTCTAAATTCCATCATTAAAGGATTTGACTTTCTAGCTTAACACTTTACTGTGGGCTAAAATAGCGATTCCCTTGGCAATGAAGTGCAAACTCCAAAACAGTTTGTGTATGCTCCTGAACCCGGGACCTATTCCTGTGCTATTTCAGGGTAGAACTGTCACAGCTAAGGCAGATTTTGGGGAAGATTTTCTGAGCAAGTGTTTTCAGCAAGCTAATGGGAATTAGTGCATGCAATTTATTAAAAAAAAAAAGAAAGTAATAGGAAAGAGATGAGAAAAAAGCTGCTTTAGCTGTTGGGTGGAGCAGAAGCATTGACTACTAAAGAAAAATCTGTATTGCCTTGACCAAGTTTCTTATTTATTACCTGACCAAACAGGCCAAAACGTAGATACAGCCTAGGATATTGTCCTGTTCTCTTGCTTGCTGTGTGAAAGAACTTTTGCTCCTGGAGTGATGTTGTGAAAGGAAAATGCTCTCCTTTTGGCTTGACTTGTTCCATGGGATTCCCCACCAGAGGCAGTTTTTTAACATCTGGTTCATTTTCACATGCCCATTTCAGGTCACCTCACCTATGGGTGGAGAGAAGCCGATCCTTCTGTGAGTGAGAAAAGAGCCTTTGATGTTCCTGGCTTTTAAAAGAATTGTGGGGCAAGCTGTGAGCTTGGCCTGTAACAGTAGAGTGTAGAGTGCCAGTTCAGTAGGCTGAAAGAAAGTCCATTTCAGTGTCTGCAGCAGCAGTAGTTGGCTGCTTCTTATTTTCCCTTTAAGGGCTTTTAAAAGATAGAAGCCCAGTTTTGCAGACAGAAGGACGCTTTCTGATTCTAGCCAGGGTGGAATATCTAATTCAGAACAATATGCAGTACCATCTCATTAGCCCATTTTAATTTTGTTTTAATGACTTAGATCCCATTTCTATCAAATTTTATGATTTCTCCTTAGTATAGCTGAGTGTACAGCTGAATAGAAATAAGTTTATAAATGACAGGTAACTCCCTATCTCTCTGGCTACTGTCTGTCCACAGAGTACAAACCAAACATCAGCACCTCATCAGTCTCCCTCTGTTCCTGGAGAAGAGGCCAAAGGGGAGGAAAATTACAACAACCCGACAGCTGTTGCTGCACCACAGCCTG